TTCCTCATTAGTGCGGTTCTGAAACCGCTAAAGCGCCCTACGAAGGTACGAGGGGTGTCTCTGGGCGAAGAATCAGGGTGGGCTGGGCCTATAAGGCGAGATAACGGTGGAGGGCCAAATGCTAATGTTTGATGAAATGATGCCCACGATGCATATGATCTCAAGAACAGCTTTCTTTCACCTAATCCAGCACACGATTGGGCGGAATTGATTTATTTACCTTGAAACGAACAGTTTGGCGTGGTGCTTTCAACTCGCCTTTTGGGTTCAGTATTTTTCGTGCAATCCCAAAGTCGAGAATGTATACCTGAACGTAGTAAAATGTGTTGCAAGAACCATCAGACAGCAGAAGAGACGGCTCTTCACGACTTCTCTGAGAGATTTTTCGCTGAGAGCAAAAACATCAGAGTGATGCTTAGTTTTCGGATTATCTTCACCGACGGGTTAGAGCAATTGCACAATAAGTAGAAGCAAGTTATTGGATGGAAGTTTGGCTGGCGCACACTGTCGATTACACGTGGCTATAGAGCTGGATGCCGAGGGGCTATGTTCACCCTTTTACCCCTTTCCTGGATTGATCGACCCCTTATGATGTGTAATCTTGTTCAAAACAAAAAAGGAGCATGATTAGCTTCTCCTTGGTCCTATAACTCAACAATACTGTTTTCTTTCTATCCCCTAGATTGAATCCAACAACCCCAGCTGGTTCAGTGCACACCTTAGTGGCTATAAGGTGTCGTCCACTTGTTGCCGCTAATTAACTGAACTTGATGTTCGTTTTCATCTATATGACCCACGCTTTGTTACTGAATCTCTGCACTTCAGGGCGAACCTTCTATCAAAACCAGAGCACGTCCTGGCATTGTGGATAATTTTGTTGAAGACTCCTCCCAAACTTTTTCCCCGTGCTATCCCGTTCTATAGTGTAGTTCGCTGCGGACGGTTGGGCGTGTCAGTGCGGCTGCGTTTGGCGCGGTGCCAAACTCGTTCTCCACCAGTTGTTGAAGCGGGCAAGTGACAATACTGTATCATATCCTTCGTATTACTCGTTTTCTACCACTTTTTGTCGCATGCGCGTTTCAACAAGAAGGCAGAGAACGGCTTTGACGGGGTGACACACTCATACTGGCTGACACGCCCAACCGTCCGCAGCGAACTAGAGTGTACAAAACGGCTAAATGAACATTTAGGGGACGCCATGGCCATACGACTACCATAGGGTATTTTCGACGCACCCTTTTGATAAGACATCACGGTGCTAATTTTCTACAGATATTGCGACCAAGTGTGAGGACGAGAAAACTATCGACTCTCTCAAACTCCCAACAGCACCTTACCCACCCTTTATTTCATAACCGTTAGTGTTTCACACCGCTATGGTGTAGTGGGCAGAAGACAGGCTCCAGGCGAGCTGCCTAATCGGTAGGAGAGCCACCGGGGTCGCTAATTCGATAGATCTCACTGGGAAAAGAGGTATTTGTGGGCAGAGCCCAACCAGTATCAGAAGCCGTGATACTGGATAGGTGAATACTCCATAGATTGTGGGGAAATTTCGTCTTCTCACAGTTCTTCGTTTTTCGTATAGGCCAATAGCGTAGTTAGCCGGTTTCAAGTCACGATGTATGAAGCCGAATTTATGCAGGCACTCTCGCTATGCTTCAGACATTGAATACCGGCTCCCAAGCCAGTAGATATTGAAAACACCTGCAAACACGGACTTCTTCTTCCGAGACTGTCTTTCTTCATATTTCCTAACAAACCTTTGTTGGTCTTGCCATTTTTAACGCAGCCAAACTTTGTCCAACAAGTTCCATCACCCGTAATAAGTACGTTCTTCTTTTTTGCTCCAGCTGCATTCGATAATAGACGTGAACTGGGATAATCCTTCTTTCAACTAGCCACAAGTTTTTAATATCGCTGATCGTTAAAAGATATCACATAATTGTCTAGAATCTCTACCAGTGTTTCAGTTTCTGGATAACTCGGCTAGTATATGGGGCAACATTGCGAGGCGCAGACGAGTCATAATACGTCGTATGGTCCTCTTCCAATGTGCGCTAGCCGCTGATACAATAATGCCGATTCACCCAAAAAAGATATATGTATGTTGATTGAGCGTCCTTCGCCCGTTATGGCAGCTACATTCACTGGTTTCTCCTACCTCCTGAGCTAGAGCGCCGACACTCGCGCTTGTAGTAGCCATCTAGGATACAAGGCGTAAGGAAAACGACCGATCTCATTAGTGTGAATGATCCTCAGGCCGAGCGCGGATCAGCTCTTGTTGTTATCCAGATTCGGGCTGATAACCGCACCCTAATCATAATCAGGTGAAGCTCGAGGGCGGCGGGATCATTCTGATGGTTTTGGAAACCAGTTCTGGTCGTTTACATTACGGCATAGATTGGAGAGGATGGGTCTCTGATGTTTTGAACGTAGGTCATACATAAGTTTAGTGACCTACTTTAGCTCGAACGGTAGTGCTGCCCTTGTACGCCTAGTCAAAGTTCAGCCTCCTTTTGTCCACCTAATTGCGTCCCTGTTCTCCCTAATCAATCATTAGTTAGTCTTGTAGTTTAACTCATCATATCTGCTTCCGCCTTTGAACGAGCGTTCGAATGCTTCAGGACCTATTCTTTTTGCTGGATCAACTCTACGGGATCACTTACTTCCATTTTCAGCTTAGAATGTCGTCGTGATTCCAACTTTTTCTCCACCTTCATAGCATACTCTTTGCGCTTATCATTCTTGTCGTGAACCCTTAAATAATACAATGTTACCTTCGATAGAATGGTCCCTTTTGCAGAGATGCTCACTTGTAGACAGCTCCGAATCCGCCTTCTCCTAATAATTTAACAATGACATAGCTGGCTTTCGATGACTCAACAACAAAACCCTGGAATCGCAAACAACTCAGAGAAGATGGTCTATTCAGCAAGTGGGTGTACTCCTCAGGTAGTAACTGACCGGCTTCAGGTTAACATCCTCCTCTTCCTCATCTTCCATAACGGCCTGGTAGAAGTAACTGACAAATGACTTGCTACACCGCGCTCTAGCTTTTTAAGCGAATGATAAGCGAGACGTAAACACTTATCGATTAAAGCTTTCTCATTCCCAAGCTACGCCAACTTTATCCACTTAATTCAAAGAAGCAACGAAAAAACCTTTTTGGGACAGGTGGGCAGTTTAAAGGATTCTATGGTCGCTCGGTTCCACAGTGCTCGCAGAACAGTACTATTATCGTTTCAGAACCGGCTATTTGTTACCCGGAAGGTATTCTGTGTAAGCCTTTGTGGTCTTTACGCCCCTGGCCCTTTGTTCACTGTGTGGCTATCCTAGATCATCTCCATGTTAATCCATCCTCAATAATACCCTATCAGTATTTGATGGAGTTTTAGCGAGATAGTGCGGGAGGGAACAGAAAGCCTAAAAACCAATAACTCAAGGGGACTACATTAACACGGATTCTTTCGCGAAGCTATTTTGTATTCTATGAAGCACCACATACACCACTTTTTGCTCTCGGCAAAGCTCATGAGTAGCGTAGCGCCGCAAGCCACGCCCACTTCTTGCCGGGAACGAAATTTGGACACGATAAACTCTATAAATTCTGTTGACGCTACCTGGTGATTCATTATTGAATGCTGATTAGTTTCCATTAAAGCCGCCAGCTACATGTGGAGCTGCGAAAATTTCATTGAAGTGCAATTGCTAGCATCGATCATAGGCGTGTGCGGGGTTTTTACATTCGACGCTCAGTTCCGCGTTGCATTGCAATGACTAAGCGTGCATCGATTGGTGCCGTCTAGGATAGCACTGCTGTGCTTCAGCACTGCGCCACTCATATTACTGATGCAGTCTTTATTCACTACTGTTATTATATGCTGACTTTCATTCAATTTCTATTTTACTACTATTCACCACTATCCACTGATACTTGTATGCATATTTTTGCTGTCTTGCAATCGGAATTAACTCACATGTGAACATTATACACCTTACACTTGCACAAATGTTGAATACTATGATGTCACTGAAAAAAATCAAAGGCAGAAAACAGTGAGTTCATTGGCAATGTCTGCCGAAGTATCATGCAACTACCTTCTCAATTTTGCCCGCTCCTGTTTTTTTCGTGAAAACTGGATAAAGATGGGATTTGCTAACGTGGTTGAGTGAAGCACCGGCAATGCAAGATTGTTGTCGCGGAACGCGACTCAAGCCGCCGAGCAGCCGTGCGCCTGGGCTCTGGCGCGCTCTAAGGCTAAAGCCGCGACGCGTGTGAAGGAAACCGCGTCACGGCCACGCCCCCAGGCGGCGCCTTATAAGGCGGCAGGCTGGCCAGTCGGCGCGTTCTCTCCCTCCGGGAGGAGGGGAGCGCCGGGCACTTCGGTGCCGCCCGGCTTGGCGGCATTTCGGGGATGCTGCCACTGGGCGGAGCACTGGCGGTAGCTCGCACCCGTTAGCCCGAGGGTGCGACCGGCTGTAGGGCGAGAGCGCCCAGAGTGCCTTTACCGCTTATGTCTTCTATCAGTTGGATGATGGATGGTCGACTCCGTGAGCTGGCAGGATACGAAGAGTAGGCCGTCAACGTGTATGGATAGGAGACACAATAAATGTGAGTTTATTATAAATCTGTGTAATTGTCGGTAGTTGGGACAAAGGGAGCGCCAGGGCAAGGGGCCCGACAGAGCGCTGTAGGTTTCATGTGTTTGGTTGTTGGTTCCACAGTTGTATGCTAGTTGGTTCCTCGTAGGTTAGCACGGGTTGTGCGCTCAGGGCCAGTATATGGAGCGTGATTCAGGCCCAACGATCGGCAATCTAGGATCACTCACTTTTCTGGCGCAGACTCTATTAAAAAACGACCAAGCCTAGAAAGATGCGCCCCAGTATCAAAGACTAATAATGATTTCTCAAAATGTGCTAGACATATCCTCTAACGAGGATATATGATCCCCGCCTTCTGCTCCAGCTAACTTTTTTGACCCTTCTTCTCTTTATTTCTCACTTAACGCGCTTTGCGGGATTTGATAGGTTTCAAGATTGTTAGACCAATACTGTAATTTTTCTTGCTTTTTACGTGCTTCATTAGCCTCTTTTTTGATTTTCTGTTTGGACACCCAAGCTCAGAATGGCCGTATCCTCGTCTCGTAGGCGAGAGCCTATTAATCGATTACCACCTGTCATCCACATTTCGCAACGAGGGGTCGAGGGTATTTAAGCTGCTGCCGGCAGCGAAGGAAATGGTCTCACCCCCAATTCTCGCTAGAAGTTGATCGTCTCCAGCCTAGACCCGGCTACACCAGCCTCCTCCTCTCCTCCCCCTTCCGCTTTCTTTACCGTATTAGATATAGAATAGATATTCACATATCCAAAGCTCAATGTTCACACACAGAACAACGCTGCACCTACCAGATTAATGTCAGATAACCTTCAATCCGATAGAGTGCGTAAATAAGGGGATCAGGCCGCGGCCTTGCGATCCCGGATAGATCACCTCGACGGCGGCCATGAAAACTAGAGGTGCCCCACAAAATAAGCCAGACCTTCAGAAGACGTTTTCCACTGTCATCAGAGCTCCACCCCGCCAGGAGGTCCCGCCTTCCTCAGCAGCAAGGACCTCACGCAAAGGCCGACGTCGTTTACAGTCTTCTATATCCCTTTCTTCCTTCCTTAACAATATGCCTGCTTCTGTTTATTCTGTTAATAAATTATTTGGTTGCTTGTTTATCCACCACAGACCTCTGTGACACAAATTAGGATCACACTGCAAGAGCTGTACTGATCGATCGATAATCAACATGGGACTTTGTCGCGTTGCAGCAACATTGGAAGTCGCGTGGCGTGGCAGTTTAGTCTTCCACCGTCCTTTTCTCAGCCTTCGATCCGTCCGCTTCGTCGGTAGCGCACACCATCTTAGTGTAGTGGGCAACCCGCGATGCGTGCGGGATGTACAGGCACACCCTCCGTGCGAGATATCTGTGTTTGTATCTCGAGCCCTCATGGGGATCAAGCGCGAGCTGTTGTGGTGGGTGACGAGCAATGCACAAAGCTGGTATCCATGCTGCACGATACTGTCTTGACGGCAGGGGGCGCTCTACCTGCACTTCAAGTAGCCAAAGACGCCGTGTGACAGAGGTTGACTAAGAGGAGGTGTCTCAGTTTCGTCGCATCTCAGCGAGGGTAACTAACGAATTGTACTGATCAAATGGGAGCAATGCTGAGACAAGACAGAGAATGAACATAAAGTGCACGGACCAAGAAGGCTTCAGCCCCGTATTGGCCACCGGCTGATACCTGTAATCACATGCCCGCTGATGGTACTAAGTTTATTAGAGTGAGAGTGTAGCTACACGTGAGCTGGAACTCTAGTGCCTGAAGCCGCGGTACTCTCACTTGCGCCAATCTGTAACTCGAAGAAATTGATGGAGTGGCACATTGAACTTACGAAATGAACAAGGCCGGAACTCCATAGGAAATGGACTTGCGCCGCGCCAAACTCACCAGTGTTGTCGAATAATTTCAGTGATAACGACTGCATCTCAGTGGTACTTTTTGTTCAAAGTTCCGTTATCACGCTAGGTCCTTGCAATCTTATTGGATCCGATTCGTCGACGTCTGGTCGTATCTCGAACTCCGTGCCCTCCATTTACACTGATCGTAGTTTGCTATTCCACTTATTAACTATTGTACGGATTTCTGTTGATTCATTTCAGAGCTCCGCAAGCTACACCACGCCAATGTACATGGACCACACGGTTGTAGCTGCATTTTTCCTGTTGGGAGTCGCCATAAGATTTTCTGTAGCGGACCACACGACCTGCCACCCTATCTTCAGTGAGATCTCTTCGCTCAGTTTCGCGACATCTAGCGACACGCAATTCATTGAACTTTCATTGTCTGAAGCATGCCATAAAGGACACAGTCAACACCTGAATCTGAATAAGTACGGACTGCTTGTTCTGGAAACAAGGCCTATTTTGGTAAGATTTTAGTATTTTGACAATCCATGTTCGTATACGTGAATATTTTTGCAGCTCGGTGAACCAGACGCTTTCACCGTGAAAAGTTTCGTCGACTTCAACAATAAAAAGTGGGAGAAGAAAAAGGGGAAACTGGAAGACTTCTACGTTGTTGGCAGTTCGCTTGAGGAAAACTCTCGTATTGATTTCAAATTCTACGAATTCAGTGAGAAAGTAGCCAAGTGTTCGCGCTTTGTCAACTGGCTTAACTGTAACAAAAAGGTAGAATCGACTCACGGGAAGAGCATAACGGATTTCTTCAGCGGGCAGGCACGCGAGCCGAAGTTCCAGACAATTTTTCTGTTAATTCACTTGAACACCGACGAAGACTATCACACCTTTGTGGAGAGTTTTACTTATGTCAAAACATCTACAACAGGCAACAATATTTATATCACTGAAAAGCGGGAAGTTTCACGCTCATCTCAAGAATGGCTTTCAAGTAGGATCAAGAGCTTTGTTGCTTTTGCTCACACTCAGGACCGGAATTGGATGCTACCTTCGGAGAGACTTGAAATTTTGCTTCCTAAGTCGACCTGCTCTGCATGTTCTTCCTTATAAGTCTCTTGATGACAGAGGCATCTCAGTCTCTCACTGCGGCTCTGATTGGGCCCTTACGGCTGCTTCCCCACGTCAGAGCAATGTTTGCAGCGGTGAAAATTCAAGCGTTTGCTGAAAATGGAACTAGCTCCGGCGGCACATCATCCCTGTATTCCAGCAGAGAGCGATATGGATATAGGCTCAAGTGACCAGGCATCAGACGACGATCGAAGCAGAGGTGCCTGCAGGTCATGGAGAGCCTATGGACGTGAACGATGCCGAAGAAGTCGCGCATGAAATAACGGAGACGAGGATAATCAAAGGATAATCAAATTGAGACGGGAGCTCGAAACTTCCAAAACGATGATTTTTTTCTTCAGGAGTTCCCCCACGACAAGGATGTCTAATAAATTTTTTTATCATTTAATAGTGATACAACAGCAACAC